GCACCAACCGCCGCGGGAAAACGGAACGCCGCGGCTCCGCCGGGAGATTCCGACCGCGCGCAGTGGAACCCGCGCTGCGGGCACGCGGCGCTGCGGGCACACGGCGTGCCGCCCTCCGTGCCCGACAGCCCCGGTACCGCGCGGTGGTTCGGCCCGGCCCGGCGCCGTGCGGGGCGGCGGCGCCCGGAAGTGACGCGTGCGGCCGGGCGCTGCTGTGCCGGAGGGAGCGAGGAACGGCCCGAAAACCGCGCCGCAGGTGAGCGCCGGGACGGCCGGGACCGGGATGGGGCCGGGATGGATCGCAGAGGGCCGGGCGGCGCCGCGGTGGGTGCGGCTGCTGGCGTCGGGCCCGGCCGGGGCGTTCTGCAGCGTTCTGCAGCATCCCGCAGCCTCCCTCGTCGCGCTCAGCGCCGGGGCCGCCTGGCACGCGATCTTCGTTTGCTCCTCCGTGTCGGCCGGCCGCGTTGGCGCTCCCTGCGCGCTGCGGGACGGCCCGGCCTTCCGGCGCGGCAGTGCGGGGCGGGCTGCGGCCCGGCGGAGCTGTGCACGCGGCTGTGAGTGACGCCGTGATGCTCCGTCCTTACCGCGCTGCCGCCGTGCCCGGCTGTGTTTCCACCTTCCTGTTGCAGCACGACACGAGCGGAGCGCGGACACCAAGGGGCGGTAGCCGATGCTGCGGCAGCTTTTTGTAAGCGTTGTGTTGCTAAAATGCTGCTGCGTGGAAAACACCATCACCTTTCACAGGTATCCCTAAAGGACTTTGTTGTTGGTGTGTGCTCGATGGGAGGGCAGATGGCCGCAGAGCTCTGATCCAGCCGTACTGATGACTCTGTTTATCCTGTCTGTTCATAACAAGAGATTGCCGAGCGCTCTCACGTCCCTGAGCAGGGCACAGCTCTCCTGTCTCTGCCCCGCAGCATTCGCTTTGTCAGCTCTGCTGTTACGTTCTGTGCTTAAACGCTGGCAGCTAATTTTATGCTCTCACGTGAAGCAGTTTGTAAGTGGGCTCGTTGCAAATTAGGTGCCAGTTGAGGAGCTATGGAAATGATGAACTTCTTAATAACGAGATGAAGGAAGCACGCTTTGGAAGCTCGTGTAGTCATCTAGTGAATAAAAGAATTAAATCAGCTTTTCAGTTCAGAAGCGGGATGGTGGTGATGTTCCCTGCAGAACAATGGTGATGTTCCCTGCCTGTCCTGGATCTTGATGTGCTGACACCCTCCACCCTCTCACCACTGCAACAATTCAGTGAATAAGAACTGAAGAGCTCCCGCAGCTCTCAGTGGTGGGCAGCACCACTCGAATGCTAACGAAGCTGAAATTAGAGCAGGTATCGTGGTGCTGTCAGGTATCACAACGGGAAGGAAAACTTGAAGGAATGAGTGCTTGGGAGCTGTGTGAGCTGTGAGTGGCAGCTTCCTTCTCTCTGCCCTCCCTGTGCCACAGTGAGAGCAGCTGCCTACAGCCTAGGGAGAGGTGGAGGCAGCGGCAGTGCCCAGGGTGCTCTGTGCTCCCCCAGGAGCTGTGTGGGCTGGGTTGCAGAGCACCTCTTCTTGTTCCACTTCTTAGAATCATAGAATCATTGAGCTTGGAAAAGACCACCAAGATCCGAGTCCATCCCCACCCACTGAGCGTGTCCCTCAGTGCCACATCTCCATGGCTCTTGGATACCTTTGGGTACAGGTGTCCCCCCTGCTCCCTGCACAGCCTGACACAGTGCATCGCCGCTCTTTCAGAGAATAAATGTTTCCTAATATCCACCCTGAACCTTTTCTGGTGCAAAGTGAGGCCATCGCCTCTCATCCTTTTACTGTTACCTGGGAGCAGAGGCCAACCCCCATCTCACCATGACTTCATTTCAGAGAGTTGTAGAGAGCATTGAGGTCTCCTGAGCCTCCTCTTCACAGCCACTCCTCACAAGACCTGTGCTAAGGACCCTTCAAGCTTTTTTGCCCTTCTTTGGACACACTTCTGCTGATGCTGGGCACCCTGACCCAATCTCAGCAGGACAGCAGTGTGCTTGCTGGGGAGCTCTTGTTGCAGTAAAGTCCCCCATGGGGTGAGGTGATGGTATCCCGTCTGCTGTGCTCTCCTGCCCATTCGAAGCGTAGCAGGCCCTGCTCCTGCACGCCCTTTCCTGCAGTCCAGCAGCCTGTGTGGGTCTTTTGCTCTGCTTTGTGCCAAGGGAGGGATTGTTATGACCTGTGTGGAGCAGGGGTTGTGGAGCTGGGTGCCTCCTGAGCACTGGGGCGTTATGCAGCACTGCTTGGGGTGAGATGCAGCGGGAAAGGCGTGAGGCGAGGAGCACAGGCTAGCTTAGGAAGGTTTAACTTTGTCTCGAATAAGCCAGTTCTTTATTTCACAGAACCATAAGGGTTGGAAGTGACCTCTGGAGCTCTGCCAGTCCAATCCCCCTGCAACTGCAATAGCAGTTGCCCACAAATCGTGCAGGTGTGTTTGGATACCTCCAGACAAGGAGACTCCCCCACCACTTGGGGGTAGCTGTGCCAGGTCTCTGCCACACTCACAGCACAGAGATCTTCCTCATGTCTATACGGAACTCCCTGGGCTCCAGTCTGTGCCCGGTGCCCCCTTGTTTTGGTGCTGGGCACCATGGAACAGAGCCCAGCCCCCAGCTCCACCCTGCAGATATGGATCAGTACTGCTCAGATCCCCTCAGCCTTCTCTTTTCCAGGTGCACAGTCCCAGGCTCTCTATTTTTATTCTGATCTCTATGCAGTTCTCAGGAATATGTGGTGTAGAGCTCTTTCATGCATTCTGAAGTTTGCATTTTATTCCAGAAGGAAAAAATGTGTATTTTTCAATAAACGGTTAATATGGCAGTCACTGTTAATAAATACTTGTCCTGAGTTTAATGTGTATCTAAAAGCATAGAGCATGAGGGCTTGAGAGGTAAATTGCAAGGTAATACACTAATTTAGGTAAAAGCATAAACGGAAAAGTAATTTTTAAACGTTCCATGTGGCATGTCTGTGTAATATGAGTAATAAAGCAGCTGAAAGTGAAACCCTGAGTAATGCCTCAAAAATTCTGTTTGTCACAGATGGACCAGTCGTCTCCAACCTACATGCTTGCCAACCTAACACACTTGCATTCTGAACAGCTTCTGCAAGGCTTGAACCTCCTTCGCCAGCATCACGAGCTGTGTGACATTATCCTTAGGGTTGGCGATGTCAAGATCCATGCTCACAAAGTGGTGCTCGCCAGCATCAGCCCGTACTTCAAAGCCATGTTCACTGGGAACCTCTCTGAGAAGGAGAATTCAGAGGTAGAGTTCCAGTGCGTTGACGAAGCAGCCCTGCAGGCCATCGTGGAGTATGCCTACACAGGAACTGTGTTCATCTCACAGGACACCGTGGAGTCGCTTCTTCCAGCTGCAAACCTTCTCCAAATCAAGCTGGTGGTGAAGGAGTGCTGCGCCTTTCTGGAGAGCCAACTCGATCCTGGCAACTGCATTGGGATTTCTCGTTTTGCAGAGACCTATGGCTGTCACGACCTGTACTTGGCTGCCAACAAGTACATCTGTCAGAACTTTGAAGACGTTTGTCAGACTGAAGAATTCTTTGAGCTTACGCATTCTGAATTGGATGAAATTGTTTCCAATGACTGCTTGAATGTGGTGACAGAAGAAACAGTTTTTTATGCACTGGAGTCCTGGATCAAATATGATGTTCAGGAGCGACAGAAGTATTTAGCACAGCTGCTGCACTGCGTCCGGCTGCCGCTGCTGAGTGTGAAGTTCCTTACGAGGCTGTACGAAGCAAACCATCTCATTCGTGATGACCATACCTGCAAACATCTTCTAAACGAGGCTCTAAAATACCACTTCATGCCTGAACACAGACTTTCCCACCAGACCATGCTGATGACACGACCTCGCTGTGCTCCTAAAGTTCTGTGTGCTGTAGGAGGAAAAGCTGGGCTGTTTGCGTGTTTAGAAAGGTAACGGCAGAGCTGCTGCAGCAGTTGAGTGGCGTGATGTTCGTGTGTGGTTTTTGTCACCCTGGGTCAAGACAAGCGCTGAGAAGCTGTGGTTTGCAGAGATGTGGTTACTGCTTTCCTTGCAAGTGAGTTTTCTTGCAGCGAGGACAAGCAGTGCGTTCTTGGTTGTTGTGCGTAGTGCTCGCAGTTGAGGCTTTGTTTGTACCAGTACAAATAGCAGTAAAATCTTTTTCACTCTGAATTTGGTTAATAAAGGTAGCTGTCTTCAGTTTGCATGCGACTTCTAACTCGGGAGCCCTTGGAATTAAGACTAACTTAATCAGAGGAAAAGCAGTGTTAAGTTCTTGATCACAGTGCAGTCATGCCTTTAGTGAGCTGGTCTTATTTCCCCAGTTCTCAAACTAAGCATCCTCTTCAGATCAGTGGTTTGTTGCCTCGCTGAAGCTAGCCGCACCAACCAGAGGAACATAACAGAGACAGCTTTCTTGCCCATACTGGTGTGCCTGGGCACTGTATCAACATTTCCAGAAGTGGTAGCTCAATTGTGAGTGTTCCTGTGTGTATGTGTGCTTTTGTACATGGGCTGCTGTGATGCTGAATGCACCTTTACCAGTGCAGCACGTGTTCCCTGTGTTAAGGCAGGCTACCTGGGCTGGCCCTACGGCTGGGTGCTGGGATATTTTACTGAGCTACTCTTTTTTTGCAACAGTTCAGTGCTTGTACACATGAGCACACACTTAAGAGCAGTTGAGGATGTTGTCGAAGGTATTTACAGTTTGCTTTCCTGATCAGTGGTGTCAGCAGTGGCTGTTGGGACTGGGGATCCTTAGGGTTGTGTTTTTAAAGAGTAAAGGGTGGGGGAATGCTGAATGCCAGATCTGTTTGGTTAATGGAATAAGAGTCCTCTGGTACAGCTCAGCTCCATTTCTTTCACAGGTTCTCAAACGATTTTAACAATGTCACATAATGGTGTGGTTCAGAATACTTTGTTGTTGTTGTTAAATTGGAACTGGAACTGCATGTTCCTGCATACAGAAACTCCTTTCATTTGTTATTATTCATAATTGTCTCAAACTGATACTTCTATTCATACTTAAATAATTTTTCTTGGCAAAAAAAAAAAAAAAAAAAGGAATACATCAGTTAAAAATCTTCCCTAATAATTTAGGTACCTGATTTTCCTACAGCTGCAATTGAAAATGGGAGGCCCTACTGCCACAAAACTCATTTTCCTTTTTGTTTCTATTTGCAAGAAGGCTGATTTATTATTATTATTATTATTATTATTATTATTATTGGGATTTTTTGCTGCTAGTTACCTCCTGCTTCATATTAACAGAGCTTGGAATCTGTTTAGTGCTGCTCTTTCCTACCTGGGCCACTGCAGTGAAGGGCCGGTGTGCTGTCAGTCATAGCATC